ATAGTTTCCTCTCACAAGTATAATAATGACATCTACCCTATACACTTATTGTGAGGATTCAATGAGACAATCCTAAAAGCATGTAACAGAATACCTGGTACGCAGTACGTAATCAATACCTATTTACAACGGACAGATATTCAGGTTTTCTATTCAAAGTTATGGGCATAAAAGTCACAACATCGGGAATATAGTCAATGGTATTGTAATAGTGTTATGTGGTGACAGATGGTAGCTGCCCTTGTGGTGAGCACAGCATAACGTATAGAGATGTTGTGTCACTACGTTGTCTACCTGCAACATTGTGTGTCATCTATACTCAAAAAAACATTTAAGAATAAAGATATTCCTATTCAAATTCCTTTCAAATACAAGTTTCCCCACATTTTATTTTCTTCCAAGTACAGCTGAAGTGTAGTACCATCATAAACTCTTGCTGGAAGTGACGATGAGGCAGGCATAGCACAGCAGGCATGGGGTACGGAGTGAGAAATGCGGAGATGCATTCTAGCCACGTGACTGAAAACAGCATACTTCCTTTTTCTGAGCCTTCCTTCCTTACCTCCCGGTATTGTTTTGAAAATTAAATGAGAGAAAGTATAACAAAGTGCTCATCACTGAGCCAGTCTATAAGCAATGCTGGCCATTTAAAATATTTATTTCTGTGGAATCAGATGTGTGCTATGGATTTGTCCTTATCCCCATGTAGCTCATTGGTCTGCACACCCTTGGTGTCTTCTAAATAATTCAATATTCAATATTCAATATTTCCAGACTTAAAGAGTAGAATGTATTTCTACATTTATTTCAACTTTGTCATTTCCTCTTTATTTGACTGCGTGACAAACAGCTGAGTATGTGAACTTATTTCATTGTTCTCTCACAGATATGTCTGACAGGCTCTCCTGTATCTTACGACTTTCCGGATGCTATGTTCTTTGTTAGTGATGTCCAAACAAATGCAATGTTAAAAATAAATTGCAGGGAAACACAGTGCAAAATGAAGTTTACTAGGTGGAAGATCAAGAGGAATTAAGTCTCAAAGCTCTAGCCCACATGTCTGTAAAATTGATTTGACTTAATAAGCTTCATGCAAATAAGGTTGTATTGTTTGGGATGTATGAATACACGTACTCATACACATACAAACATACGCATCTTCAACTGTGTGGGCACATCTTGCTTTTGTCCATTTAGAATTCTCATGAATAAATAAATATAAACAGGCTGTTTTCATTTTTAAAGATCAGCTTTTTATCTGAAATTTAAAACCGAGCATATACTAGCGTATGAACAGATAGACTTTGAGAAACGCAGTAAACTGGGGCACGCCGAAAGACAGCTCATGATTGCCATGTTCTTCTCCGTAAAAGAAGTACTGGGTCTCTTATCTCATCCTCTTGATTAAACCTGTTTGTTTTTTACCCTCCCTGTGAATCATTTTGCTGCAACCACCACTAGATTTAAAGCATGGAGCTGCTAGTAATTGCACCAATTTTTCACTTCAAGGCTTTTCTAGGTGATTTGGTGTAAAATGTTTCAGTCTGTTCTCCTAGCTAACCGTCCTAACTAATCTTCCAGGATTTAATTTCAGGATCCTCGAGGAAGCATCCCTGAATCCCTTCTTCCTAGTCAGCACTAGCAAAACACCTTTTCTCTGCACTTTTAAATCACTCCACTTCATGTACAACTTCTTGAAAGAAGCATTGATATGTACTTTTACGAAAGTAGATTCTGATTGGTGTTGAAGTGGTGGGTTTCCAGCTTCTCATTCTGATCTCAGGGGTGAGGTGGGGAGATTCCATTCAGCTCATGGAAGTTGTAACATGCAACTGGCATCGGGTTGAGTTTAAGGATGCAATTTCTTTACGCATGTGACCAGTCCCACCCTGTGTTTTTGGTTTTCTGCTTTGCAAAGTAAAAATAATGATCATTCCTTCCTACCTTGCAGAAGGCACTCCGACACTTGCCCTGCTCAATCAGAAAAATAAAATGATTTTTAAATTGATTACAGTTCATTACCTCGGAGGGGGTTCCTTTACTTACCTGAGAGGCCCAACTATCAATATGATAAATCTACAAAATAAAAGTAGAAACAGCAGATGATGGGGAAAATACAACTAGTTAAAAGAAGGCTAATATATAATAGGATTTTGTTCATTTAGGATAACAGACATCTGAGGGACATTTCTGGTTATCTTGGAGAGCTAGAATAAATGCATGTATTTTTATTCTTTTATTGGGAAACTGAAAAATCAGAAAAACAATTTTACTTCCCTAAATTGACATAGATTTCATCTATCAAAAAGAGCATGCAAAAAAGAACTCACGACATAAGGTAATAATACCTTATCCATAAGTGATACCCAAGATCCCAGGGCTCTAGATCTTTTAAAATATTATGTTGTTTTGGGGCACCTGGGTGGCTCAGTCAGTTGGGCATCCAACTCTTGACGTCGGCTCAGGTCATGATCTTGTGGTTGTGGGATCGAGTCCTGCATTGGGCTCCTTGCTGGGTGTGGAGCCTACTTTTATTTCCTCTCTCTCCCTCTTTGTCTGCCCTTCCCCTACTCACATGCACATGTGCTCTCTCTCTCTCTCAAAATAAATAAACATTTAAAAAATATTATATTGTTTCGAGAAAACAAATCATTCCTTTCTGTGTGTTTTTGGGTGGGCAGTATTGACTTCACTTAAAGATAGAGAAAACTAAGCACAAGAAATAGTAACTTTCTAACATAGGATCACCAGTAAGCCAGTAGGGGAATTATATTCCACTTTTATTACTCTCCTCTTTGGAATTTATTTCTCCTGTATGTTTGTTTTTAAATGACAGAACAAAGATGGAGCAAAAGTGTATTCCATTTTTGATGGGCCATCACCGTTTTCAGATAAAACAATACCTGCATCATTTTAGGTGGGTGGCTGTCTATCCAATAAAAAACAACCCCCCCAAACCAAGGAAAAATATTCTAAAAACCCCCAAATTGAAAATAGCTTTACAGAGAGCTGTAGTTCAATAAGCAGTACTCAGAATTAAAATGGTGTAGTAGTGGTAAAAAATAGGCCCAAATTGGAGTCACTTATGTTAAGCCCCATGTCATCAAATCAAAACTTTACTTACAGTTTCGGCTCTTCCAGAAATGGAATTATAAGGCAGTTAATCAGGAATCATGCAAAGCATTATGTAGGTAATCTGCCTGACCCCTGCCATTCCCTAAAGGAAAGTAATCTTGCAATAACCAAACCCATGTGTTAGTCTGGTATAACTTTCTTGTTCCAGTCCCTTCCACCTATAAAAGTCTTTATTTTGTATAGTTCCTTGGAGCTCCTTTCTCTCTCTCTGCTGGATTGGATGCTGCCTGATGCATGAGTCATTGAGTAAAACCAGTATTATCTTCAAAATGTAATCAGTTGAATTTTGTTTGTTAACAGTTGCTTATTTATTGTCTTATTGACTTTATCCCTCTAAAGAAGAAATATATTTTATCTCACATCTTAGCACTAATACAACCTTCTCTGATCAAAGCTTCATTCCTAATTCATTCAATGCCTATAATGTATTAAAATTTACGTCAAAGTCCACTTCAAAGCTGAACCTTCTAAGTAGTTAAAACTGTATTGTGTAAGAAAGTAATTCCTCTTCGCTCTATCCCTGCCTCTGGATTTAATGGAGGTGGAATCACCACGGAGCAGCAGCAGCAGGTGCCTTTTAGCCTCCTCGATGATTTACTCTATTGCCTTCAAATGTTTTCCTAGCGCAGCATCTGTGAGCAAAATCAATTATGTATTCCAAGCTGGTTTCTTTTTTTCCCTTCTTGAAAATTCATTATGCATCTTAATGTATTAAAAAGGTTTTTTCTCTAGTCTCTTATTGGTTTCTGGTTGCAGGCATTACGAGTCAGATAATGTGTTCACACGCTTACATTTGTCTAAGTGCTTCCTCTGCCTCCCTTGACCAGAACACTTTCAGCATTTGGTCTAAGCTGATCTAAAGATTTTAAACAATTGTATATGCAGCATCTGTGAAATCTGAATTAATTTATACAGAAAAGCTTTTTATAATCCTCTAGTTGTAAAAGTTGAATGCTTACATTCTTCAGGTGGAGAAAAATCTATGCCAGAAAAGACATTAGGGTAGAAACAATGTAAAGGCAGAAAAAACAAGCCTGTGTTTGTTCATATTAAACACATAGAGTTAAAAAGTAATTTTTACTATCATCCCTCAGATATAGAACAAAATCATTTAATATCCTTGTAGTTTTCTTCCTCAGAATTAATATTTTAAGAGCTAATAATTTGAAGAAATGCCTTAAAAATATAAATTTTCCTCCTAAATTTATTTGTACATGTAGAATTTTTAAATCATATCTAAAACTATTAGTTTTCTCTCAGGTATTTATGTCTTGTCTCTTTCTCAAGCCATTCCCTAAAGCAGTAAATTTAGAAAACATATTTACCGGAAAGATGTACTAAACAGAGAAATAATTCAAATAAAATTCTCACACAGAATCTTCTTACGTGTTCAGACACTGTTTAAAAAAAATGATTTGGGGCACCTGGGTGGCTCAGTTGGTTGAGCGGCCGACTTGGGCTCAGGTCATGATCTTGTGGTTTGTGAGTTTGAGCCCCATGTCAGGCTGTGTGCTGACAGCCCAGAGCCTGGAGCCTGCTTCAGAGTCTGTGTCTCCCTCTCTGTCTGCCCTTCCCCTGCTCACACTCTGTTCTCTGTCTCTCAAAAATAAATGAACATTAAAAAATATTTTAAAAAATGAGTGAGAAATGTTGTACTGGAAAAATCACTTAATTCATCATCACATTACACAGCTTCAAACTAATAAATCCTATAGGGGTTCTTTTTTAAGGAATAGTTTAGGGAATTAATCTCTAGTATCTCCTTTTACTGTCCATGTTCTGAGTAAATTAGAGGTAGACAAGGAGCAAGGCTGTCAGAGATGAAGATATAAGCAGTTAATTTTTTTTTTTTTTTGAATTTTTAGATACTCTTAGAAGAGCTGTGAAGAGAGTATGGAGAGTTCCTGTGTGACTTTCTTCTGGTCCCTTCTAATGTTCGACATCACACCTAAACATTGGTTCAGTACCGTAACCTCAACCACAGACCTTCTTCAGACCTCCCAGACTCTCCACTACTGTTGTCTTCTTGCCTCAGCATCCATGTAGCATTCAGCTGTCTCCTCCAATCTGTCACAGTTTGTCAGGGTCTCTTGTTACACACGACCTTGGTCAGTTTGGAAAGCACTAGTCAGGTATATTGTGATTGTCCTTCAATTCGGATCTGCCTTATAGCTTTCAAGTATTAGACCGAGTTTATGGATTTGGGGAATATCAGAGAGGTCATGATCTCATCATATTGCACTATAACAGAGAATACATGATATCAACCCATTTTACTACTAATAATCATTGGAGTCATTAACATTGCTGATTTCTGACTCTCATTCTTTCTATATCATTAGTTGAAATTTTCTGAAAGGGTAAGTTATCTTTTTCGTTTTTTTGTGCAATCATTTATTTTTCTCACAAATTCTTATTTTATTCTTCAGTTAGTAGTCCAATACTATCATCATTTATTGTGTGGCTTCAGTCACTCCAGCTGTGGTCACTAGGGGCTCTTTTAGGTTGGCTCTTGTGTCGCTTTGAAATGTTCCCATTGTGTGTTGTTTTGATTTTGCTCTTTTGTTTGTTTATTCCATCTTTACTTTCTGCCACCTCAAAGTGATTCAGATTCATCTTATATTTTCTCCACCCCCACTCTGGAATAAACCATTTATCTAAGTAATCTTGTTTCCTTATGTTGGAAAATAGAATCTAGAAATCAACATGCAGGTACCACCCTTGCTCATTCCTCCTGGTGGGTGCCTGCTTCTAGGCACTCAGTACACATGGGGGGGGGGGGGGGGGCGGCGATATATGTAAGCATACCTTTCCGTGTAATCCACCTAGCTATGTCTGTATGTTCCACATACACAAACGTATGTACTATAAACATATGTTTATACTGATATCTGATTCCACAGTATTTATTCTATCCTTCCTCTCTCTTTACTGTGACTTCTTTCTCAGGGAGGAGCTTGGCTCTCACCATCTACAAAGTAACTGTTTGTTTGTTCAATTATACTATAGCTGTAGTTTCAAAATTACTAACTTGTGCTTACATGAGAAACAGTTGATGAATTAGAGAACAGGTATCCCTTGCTTTTTGAAAGTCCGCCTAATGCCACTTTGCTTTTACATTAATACTGTTTTCCACAGCCAAAAGAAGAGGATTTTGCTTTTACAAAAAAAAAGGCAAAAGCTGAAATAGCTTTCAGTCTTTGTCTTGCAGTGAGCCCTTATAAAGGCAGCACACATTCTGAGCAATGAAAGGGACCCAGCCAAGCTCCTTGCCTGGGAACTGCTCTTGGTATTATCTCAGCATCTATCTGCTGTAGCTTTGAACTGTGTATGTGAGCATTTGAGTCTTTGCTCAATTTATTTTGTGTGTCTGTTAGCAAGATGTGTCCTAAGGTATGTATGCATTATGCATTTTTATTGGATATATACCCAGAATCAGTGGCATGCATATTGTATTTGACTCCAGGGCAGATTATTTTTTAATACACCTTCACCCATACAACAAAATAAGTTTTAGTAATAATCAAGTAAAAATCAATAACATTCATTGTCCCAATTTGCTCTTTAGCTTTAAAACTAGTAATTAATAACAAAAAAACAATAAATTTCAGTTTTAAAGTTAATTCTTAAATTCAGAAAAATATTCCATATATGAACAAAAATTTATATTTTCAAAAAATAAATAGGGGCACCTGGGTGGCTCAGTTGGTTGGGTGTCTGACTTCGGCTCAGGTCATGATCTCACAGTTTGTGGGTTCGAGCCCTGCGTCGGGCTCTGTGCTGACAGCTAGCTCAGAGCCTGGAGCCTGTTTCAGATTCTGTGTCTTCCTCTCTCTGACCCTCCCTTGCTCATGCTCTCTCTCTCTCTCTCTCTCTCTCTCTCAGAAATAAATAAAAAAAATAAAAAAAATAAATAGTATACCTCTCAGTTTGCATTATTTTAATGTTTTGAATTTTAAAGACAAGAGTTTCAGGTGGTTCTGTAGAGTGACAATTGAGATGACTCAAGGTTTGATTTTGTCTTTAAAAATCATTGTACGATCATTGCTTGTTTTGATCTAATGCTTTTGTGCAGAAACATATAGTATAACAAGAGTTGGAGACATGAATGTTAACAATTCTGAACTGAAAGGAACTTACTCATAAGAGGAACACATGTAACTGAATCCAAATTTGTCAGAGACCAATTATATGACTGGGAGTTCTCTGAATTAACTTTTATATAACACACAAAGTTTATTAAAGGATATGTAATAAAACAGCTAATTTGATTTAATATTATTAAAATTCACAATATTTAAATTATCAATATTACCTATGTCCATTGTTTAGAACTTAAACCCAGACAAGTTATTTTAGGGAAGAGTTGACAGTGTTTAGAATTTCTGGGGCAAGTTATAACAAAAATCAGACCATCTTTTCATTTTCTTTTTTAGTTGTTTTTGTGGTGAAATTCTCTATAGGCAAAATATACTCTAATTTTCTTTAGCCAAGGAAGTATGCTCCCATCTCCCCATCCTCGGTATGTCACTGCCTGAAAGCAGAATGGCTGGTCATGGGGTATGTGTGTGTTCAGCTTAGTAGATACGCCCATATCTAGCAGTATAGTAATTTACATTTCTACTACCAATGTGTGAGATGTCCAGTTACTTCTCTTTTATTACCAGTATTTGACCCATCAAGATTTTCAATGTTAACCGTTCTAAGTGTATATGGTTTCCCAAAGAGGTTTTAATTTGCATTTGCCAAGTGACGAAGGAGGATAAGTATTGTACATACTTTTAGATAGCTTCTTTTGCAAAGTGCCTGTTTCAAGTCTTTCGACCTCTAATTGGATTACCAGATATATTTTCTTTCAATGATTTGTAAGAGTTATTTATATATTCTGGGTACAAGTACTTTGCTGTTTATAAATATTGTCAATACCTACTCCCATTTTTAATTATTATTCTTTTTAAAATTCTCTTAAAGATGTCATTTGTTGAATAGAAGTTCATTTTGAAATAACTGTGACTTATTATGTTCTGTCACTAGTGGTTTTATGTTTTCTTAAGGACAGAAGTTCTCATTTTAATACAAATTCATCAATGTTTTCTTTGAGAACTCTTTAGTTACTGCTGGTATAAAGAGTATAAAGATGGTCTTTATGATTGTATAGATGGTTCAATTCTTTGTCTATAACATTAAGCTTTAAAAACTCTTCCTGGAGGGGTGCCTGGGTGGTTCAGTCAGTTAAGCATCCGACTTCAGCTCAGGTCATGATCTCACAGTTCGTGGGTTCGAGCCCCGCATCAGGCTTTGTACTGACAGCTAGCTCAGAGCCTGGAGACTGTTTCAGATTCTGTACCTCTCTCTCTCTCTGACCCTCTCCTGCTCACTCTCTCTCAGAAATAAATTAAAAAAAAAATTAAAAAAATCTCCCTGGAATTGATTCTTTTTTTAAGTGGGGTAAGGCAGAGGTCCATCCATGGATATCCAATTCCCTAGTGCCATTGAATAAAGATACCATCTTTCCCCTACTGCCCTGTGCCTGCCACATTCGCCCAAGTCAGATAACTGACTAGATGTAACGTAGTTTTTGGATTTTCAACTCCATGATCATCTAAACTTGCATTAATACTGAATTACCTTAAGATATTATATCTTTGAATTCCACTGCATGTGTGTGACAGTTTTGTTCAATTTATTAAAGTTTGCCTTGATTTCTTAGTAGTCTTTGTCTTTCCATGTAAAGTTTAGAATCAATTTGCTTGGTAAATACCTGCGGGGAATTGCTTTGAATCTATAGCATTGAAATCTTGTGCATTTTTTGTTAAACCTATTCTATTGCATTCAATGCTTTTATGGAATTGAAAAGTGTGTATTTTAAAAAACTGTATTTTCTAATTTTTCATTTACTAGTATATGGAAATCTTATTGACTTCTTTACATTTCACTTATGTTCAATGACTAAATTCATTTCTTAATTGTAATATTTCATTTCTAAATAAGAAAATTCCACATTCAAGTCATATAATTGTATAATGCTTCATTTCTTAGAAGCATATGGTCATATGGTTAGGACCTCCAATACATTCCAAAGCCGAGAGAGAAAACATCTTTTCCAGATGCTTAATGGGAATATTTCACCACTTGGTATACTCTAAATTTTCAAGTTATCTCTTTATCAGCTAAAAGAAGTTCCTTTCTACTTTTGTTTGCTTTTTACTGTATACTTTTTTGGCATCTCTTGAGAAACCATATGATTTTACTTTTTTATTCTTTGTGTGGTTCATTATATTGATTAAAACCTAAATATTAGGTTTCTTGCATTCCTGGAATAAGCTCAACTTGTTTGTGATACATTTTTTTTTTCAAATAGCCTAATTGACTCAGCTGCTGATATTCTCTGCAGATATTTATATTTATGTTGATAATGATCATTGGCCAGAGATTGTCTTCTCTTATAATATTTTGGTCAAGCATCCTGACCTCTATTTACCTATCAATATCATGAAACCATGAGCACAATTAAGGTAATCTATCACACCCAAAATGTTTTCAGTGGCCTTTACTTATTTAAAAATTTTTAATGTGTATTTATTTTTGAGAGAGAGATAGAAACTGAGTGTGAGCAGGGGAGGGGCAGAGAATGAGGGAGATACAGAATCTGAAGCAGGTTCCAGGCTCTGAGCTGTCACCACAGAGCCCAATGTGGTGTCCGAACTCACAAACCACAAGATCATGACCTGAGCCAAAGTAGGACACTTAACCGACTGAGCTACTCGGGTGCCCCTTCAATGCCTTTTTATAATTCATTTCGCCATCCAAGCTTCCTCTTCAGGCAAACACTGATTTATTTGTATCATTATAGATTAAGTTGTATTTTCTAGAATTTATATGAATATAATCATACAGTATATGGTCCTATTTTGTTTGACTTCTTTGGTTCAACATAATTACTCTGAGATTTATCTGCATCCTTGGCAACACTTGATATAGCAAGTCTTTTCAACTTTGGCCATTCCTGTGGGTATGTGGTGTTATCTCTTTGTGGTTTTAATTTGCATTTTATCATTCTATATTTTAAATTTTTAATTAATTAAAAAATAGGCATACAATCTAAAAAACTGACATGTGGTAAAATTCACTCTTCAATTTATACAGATTATGGATTTTGACAAATGCATAGCGTCCACTATATACTACCCAAATCGAGACGCAGTGTAGTTCAATCACCTCCAAAAATTTTGTTGTGCTATCCCTTTGGAGTCAAACTGTTTTCTAACATACATGTCTTTGCCACCGTTGACTTTTGTTCTCTTCCTATAG